GGAACTCTACAATGTCGAGGATCGTAAAATTGGGAAATGCGTTTACTAACTTGTACGCCATATATCTGAACAAAAGTTAAGTACAGATCCTAAAGATCCCTTTTCACGCCTTAGGCACATCGGGCATATGGGATAAGCGTCCCATATTTTTCAGACCAATCGGCACAATGTGGTCAGCATCACGCCGGCCGTTTTTACTTCCCCAGGACAGCCATCCTGGTACCGATTTTAGGCTGGGTCTGCCTGCGACACCCAATACCATGATGAAAATCCACGCAGCCAGCAGTGGGTTTCGATCGCGGTACGTTGGAATTACGAGTCGAACTCACAACCCCTAAGCCACGGAGGCCGCTAGAGAGCTGAGCAAAGGTTTGAGAGAGAAAGAGAAAGATCCCGCTTCGACAGCTACATCTGAACACAGGGCCACAGGCTGTGGGTATCATGCCTCTTTATAGCATAGAATAAAACTGTCGTCGGGACAGACGGAAAGGTGCCAAGAACAACAAAAAATGGATGGCTGGCAGGCAAGCGTGTTATCCTAAAATTGGTACCCAGGTAATGTCTTGGGAAATAAAGACGGAATCTCTGATGTTGACCATATTACACATTGATTGCCGATTATGATATGTAAAGAAAGAAAAATGTCTTTAATGCGTCTCAAAAGTCGTGACCTCACACATTAAATAAATATCTGGAAAACACCTGTAAGAATCAACACGAATTTGTGCAATTGGCCTTTGATTTCCCATGTCCTTATCATTTTATATTTTACAGTTGCGCTGATGCTGCGGTTTTCTTTAAAATGGACTAATGTGGCATGAGTGGATACTAAGAAGCAACAGTACGCCAGCATTGCAAGGAATCACGTGGATATACTGTCCGGGACAGGGGATGAAGGGGCGGATTTTCTGGTTAACAAAAGGGATAGCTATGGGAACACGGGGACTGGACAAAGGAGATATTATGAAGACTACATCTGAACGAATGTTGACGGAAGCTGAAATAACATGTATAAGAATGTGTGAACGGAGAATTATGACTGGATCCGGCAGGAAAGGGAGGTACGAGAGGGAGGAAACGACGTGTGTATAATCAGTGTGCTACGCCTTAAAAAATTAGCTGCGGGAGACGGAGCATCTGCGAGTGTGCCCGATGTGCTATGATTTCGATTCTTAAATCAGTAGTCAATCTTTAATTAATTAAAGCGGCGAATTTCTTTGATCTTCGTTTGACTAATAATTTGTATGCCTCTTGAAAATTGAATATATAATAACTGGCACACACATGGTAATTGTTTGAAAATCAGTTCACATATTCAGCGATGCATGGTGGTTATTTTGGTAGCCTATCCCGCAGACCGTGAATAATCCACAACTCATGGGAGGCTAATTCTAAGGATGACCACATCAGAATGGAAGGTTCCTTTGAAGTCGGAGTGCATCTGCCTGAGAGGCAAGGAACCAGCCGTCTGCATTCAATTGAATCAGATCTGTAAAACTGATGCACATGCACCACTCAGGTTCTGGAGCATGACTGCAATTCAGTAGTGGACGAACAACCAGAACTTTACGCCAGAGTGTACAGCGGGTGAACACAAAGAAGAAAGAAGAAGAATGGAAGGCATGCAGTTTGATGTTTTGAAAAGATTTTGTTACTCATTTCACTGTAAGCATATACCGCAAAATAGGACAAATTGAAAACTGTATGTTTGTTTAATTTATTTGTTCACAAGGACATGATTGTTAACAGGTTGCATGCTAAACTCCAACAGCTTCTACCGAACGGTTGCTGAGTTACATATTTTAAAAGTTGTTCACGACTTTTGCAACGGACTAAAGCACTATTTGTCAGGTGCGCCAGAAGTCCTTTACTTACATCTACGGCTCCTGTGAGCCTGATTTCATGCACCTGAACTATCCCATGTAAATGAAGAATGTAAATCCCAGCCATTCTCAGCGGCACTCGCCACGTTACGGCACCCGCAACGTCCTCGTGCCATCAGGCTGTGTTTCTCCGTGCACAGCTCGACGAGCTTCTGAACTGGCTGGCCTACTTAACGCAGGCCAAGCTCCTGGTACTGCTAGATCAGTGTTTCCCAAAGTGGGCGCTGTGACAATCCAAGGGGGCGGTAGCTGCCTCGGTCAGATTTGGGTGGCACCAGGAGCTGTCCAGATGGGGGCGGTAGCTGCCTCGGTAAAATTTGGGTGGTACCAGGAGCTGTCCAGATGGGGTCGGTTGCTGCCTCAGTCAGATTTTGGGTGGGGGCGGTAGGAGCCTCAGGTGAAGATAGGGACATTGCGTTTTTTTGGGGGTCCTGTTCACGTTTCCCGGTCCATCTACACACTGCCCCGTCTTTTATTGATACTTTCTCAGACTCTTCTACGTCAGGGGTGTCACGGTGTATTGCCTCCAGTTACATAAGCGCCGATTTCGGTGTTTTATACTACAAGACGACACAGCTTTCAACGACCCCAGAACATCTAGAAATAGCCCTAACCCAAACTCCCTACCCACAGCCTGAGCCTAGGTCACACGAGAGACTCATTTTGAAGAAAGCAATACAACGTCACACCCCTCTGACCTAGTGGGAAAGTGTGTAGATGGACCAGAAAACGTTAACAGGACCGATTTTTGTAAAAGGCAGCAGCAGAGAAAAAGAAGAAGTAGAAAGGGAAACCAAAAGAAAACATATTTGATTGACTGTTCGAATCTGTGTAAGTGTTGTATAAATTATTAAATTAATAATGATTACTTAATTTTCAGAATAAACTATGACATTATAATTTATTACCAATCAGGTCAAACCTTCTCATTACTGTAATGTTACTCCTGGTTTTCGTAATAATAATTTAGTTCCCAGACTTTCCAAGTTGGGGGAATAAGGGCCCTAACAGGATATTCTACAGGCAAGAGTTAAAACTGTAGAAGACTTGATTTACCAGAGACTAACGAGAGTTAAATAGACAGCTAGTCAGTAATAATGGGAGATAGGGGAGGGGGAGAATGAGAAATAAAAGTAAAGTCGGGAGATGTGAACCAGCGTCATTGCACACGGTTATAAACCATAAGTGCTCTGCCACCAGTACGGACAGCTGATAAGAAATTGTCCGCCTGTGTCGCCGTTCGCACGTAACTCCGTAGCTACAGCGACGTTCCTCCATTTACCCCAGAGTGTTAACTCTGGTACCCATTTCCTAGAGGCTGGGTGGACCCTGGGAACCGCCCGGTTTCGAAGACCGGCCGTAGGCTGCAGCGAGTTGCGGCTGGATTTGAAAGCGAGTCTCCTATCGACGGCGCTAACGCGGCCCCTAGAAAGAGAGGGGAGAGAGAGAGAGCAGTTATTTGCATGACATTACTAATTGTTCTTATCTACAAGTAACTGGGTATACAGTGTAACTGTCGATGACTTCACTTTTTGAACTGCCGTGGAAAACATGCTCCAAACCACCTAGGTATTTCACACATCAGCAGAGAAAGCGATGAACTGGCCAGAGAATCGAGGTCTAACTCTGAAGAACAAATCCCCACAGCGACACACTCTTCTTTCTCACGTCACACAAAGATTGTCAGAGCACACTTATTCTCTATGCGTCTAGCTGATTCTTCCACTTGCAGTAATGTTGCCCCAAAGCAAACATTACTTAAAGTTTGCCCAGACTGTTCTAGCCAGAGAGAAGAGATCTCACTACAGACGCGACTCTGCATTATAAACTATGGCACCAGTGAACATCCTCCTTATTATGATCTTTACTGGAATAGATGCAATTGAAAACTAACTTTGTTATTTTCGTTTCTTATATTAATTGAGTGGGCTTTTGTGGCTTAGGCGCTGCGAACGCTCTTCGTAATGCCAGGGTGCCGGGTTCGATTCCAGCTGCGGGCCTTGCTCCTCTCGATGGTTTCGACTGTGGTATCGAGAAGCCGACCGTCCAGTAGGCAGTGGCAAACTACTAGACGTAAATTTGGCTAGAAAAAACCCAACAGCTAAAAAAATATTTATGTTGGTTCTGCAACGTCATGTAAAGGATGAGCAAATAACTATATAAGTAAAAAGTTGTTAACGGAAATTGTAATGGGAGACACCACTGTGCGGCGGCTAGTTGCCCGTCTACCGATCCGAAGGTCTTGGATTCAGATCCTGAGGAATTTTTTATGACGGTGGCTTCCAGGCCGACCCAGCCTTAAATGTGTACCAGTTTCGTCCATTGCGTTCACTGGCTGTTAAGTCTCGCGGAAGTTCTGGCGTTCGTCCACCTCAGGACTTTATTCTCCTTTCAGAACCTAAGTGTTGCATGCACATCCGTTTCACAGATCTGGCTTATTTGTATGAGACTGATGGTTGCTTGCCACTCCACTCAGCAGATGTACTCCAACATCCAAGAGTGCCCCCGAAATAGTCAACTCATACGGCATGCTTGTTAGGGAGGCGGTGGGTCTGTTCTCATTTTCCCCCACAGTGGGGACCGGGAACCCACATTGAGCCAAATTTTTATTTGATAAAGGCTTCGGTAGACCCACACACAAAAAACGTTTGGGAAGCGCTAAGCTTGATGAAGCGTGTGTGTTTACATTCAGAATGGGTGACCTCACCTCAGCGTAGCATAGTGGTATACGCTGGTATCTGGCCTACTTGTCTACTCGCTGCGTGTTTCTCAATCAGATTCACAAACTAGTGGCGTGTGGGTTTCAAGCTACCCTGTCTTAACTTCTCACACCGTTTGTTAGTTGCTGCTGTTAGAATGCGGCAATAATTTTGGCGGTAGTTTCTCTGACCATCATTTGTTGTGCTCAGTGCCGATGATTTTGTGCCAAATGCTTTAAAACGTTGGAATAAATAATGAGCTTGTGTTGGATATTAGTTGCACTAACTTTTCTACGTTGTGAATTTAATTACAAGTATTAGTAACTTTCTTGTTTTTAGAAGTTCTAGTAGCCTGTTTGTGTTGTGTATTAGATGTTCTAGTAGCCTGTTTGGGTAGTGTATTAGAAGTTCTAGTAACCTGTTTGTGTTGTGTATTAGAAGTTCTAGTAACCTGTTTGTGTTGTGTATTAGAAGTTCTAGTAACCTGTTTGTGTTGTGTATTAGAAGTTCTAGTAACCTGTTTGTGTAGTGTATTAGAAGTTCTAGTAACCTGTTTGTGTTGTGTATTAGAAGTTCTAGTAGCCTGTTTGTGTTGTGTATTAGAAGTTCTAGTAACCTGTTTGTGTAGTGTATTAGAAGTTCTAGTAGCCTGTTTGTGTTGTGTATTAGAAGTTCTAGTAACCTGTTTGTGTTGTGTATTAGAAGTTCTAGTAGCCTGTTTGTGTTGTGTATTAGAAGTTCTAGTAGCCTGTTTGTGTTGTGTATTAGAAGTTCTAGTAACCTGTTTGTGTAGTGTATTAGTAGCCTGTTTCTAGTATTAGCCTGTTTGTGTTGTGTATTAGAAGTTCTAGTAGCCTGTTTGTGTTGTGTATTAGAAGTTCTAGTAGCCTGTTTGTGTAGTGTATTAGAAGTTCTAGTAGCCTGTTTGTGTAGTGTATTAGAAGTTCTAGTAGCCTGTTTGTGTAGTGTATTAGAAGTTCTAGTAGCCTGTTTGTGTAGTGTATTAGAAGTTCTAGTAACCTGTTTGTGTAGTGTAGTTCTAGTGTTTGTGTTGTGTATTAGAAGTTCTAGTAGCCTGTTTGTGTAGTGTATTAGAAGTTCTTGTAGCCTGTTTGTGTTGTGTATTAGATGTTCAAGTAGCCTGTTTGTGTGTTTTAGAAGTTCTAGTAGAAGTAGCCTGTTTGTGTAGTGTATTAGAAGTTCTAGTAGCCTGTTTGTGTAGTGTATTAGAAGTTCTAGTAGCCTGTTTGTGTAGTGTATGAGATGTTCTAGTAGCCTGTTTGTAGTGTATGAGATGTTCTAGTAGCCTGTTTGTGTAGTGTATTAGAAGTTCTAGTAGCCTGTTTGTGTAGTGTATGAGATGTTCTAGTAGCCTGTTTGTGTAGTGTATTAGAAGTTCTAGTAGCCTGTTTGTGTAGTGTATTAGAAGTTCTAGTAGCCTGTTTGTGTAGTGTATTAGAAGTTCTAGTAGCCTGTTTGTGTTGTGTATTAGAAGTTCTAGTAGCCTGTTTGTGTAGTGTATTAGAAGTTCTAGTAGCCTGTTTGTGTAGTGTATTAGAAGTTCTAGTAGCCCTGTTTGTGTGTGTATTTGTTCTAGTATGTTTGTGTTGTGTATTAGAAGTTCTAGTAGCCTGCTTGTGTTGTGTATTAGAAGTTCTAGTAGCCTGTTTGTGTTGTGTATTAAAAGTTCTAGTAGCCTGCTTGTGTTGTGTATTAGAAGTTCTAGTAACCTGTTTGAGTTGTGTATTAGATGTTCATGTAGCCTGCTTGTGTTGTGTATTAGAAGTTCAAGTAGCCTGCTTGTGTTGTGTATTAGAAGTTCTAGTAGCCTACTTGTGTTGTGTATTAGAAGCTGTAGTAACTGGCTTATGTCTTGTTGCATAACTTGCTAGCATCAAAGAGAAGGAAGGAAGGAACGAGTAATAAACTTTTTTTTTCAAAATTGTTAAGAATTGGGCACGCAGACCCCTTTTAACATTCTGCCCTTTCAGTCTCACTGCTGCCTAGAGTTATTCATTCATACATGATTTTTTAGGTACTAATAAACATTTGCGACATCTAATTCTTAATTACAAACGCTGGAATGTGCTGCGATTTTACCTACATTACTAAACTAAATATTTCTTTCAGAATAAAAAGTCACAAACTGGCATTTATGGTATTTGAATCGTTCGTTTTGATGTGATACACTTGAGGTCTTATCTGCGTGCATTTGGGACCCGTGTTACTAGGTTTAACCTGTAATAGAAATCGCGTGCTGCCACACACACCACTGACTGAGTGACAACTGCAGGCATTTACCACAGTACCTGACTATTTGACCCCGTTCCCTTGCGTGTAGACGGGAGTCGTATGTGCTTGAACCCCGCATGTTGGATGATTGTGGCGGATCTGTGATAAATGAGTTTCTGGATAAAGGTAAGTTGTGATATCAAGTTGTGATAAAAGTTAGTTGTAATTTATATGTGAGCCCTATCTCTCCCTCCCTCTTCTCCCCCCCCCCCCCCCCCACCAATCAGGATGGTGCCATTATGACGTGGATGTTTCACAGGCTGGGCCTTGCATTGTGAATGTGGTACTGTGTGGGATTCCTATGTTTCTTGTGTGTTTGTAAATAAATGAAAAGACCCTTTCCAACACCTTACGGCGTTTAGGGCACATTGGGTTAGACCTAAATTTTATAAACTAATTGGTGCTCGGTGGGTGATGTGGCCAACATCACGGCGGCAGCCTTTACTTCCAGGTCTTGCACCTTTTGTTGTTTGTTTCTGTGACACGTTTTGTTGTGTGTTTTTGTGGCACATTTTGTTGTGTGTTTCTATGGCACCTAATGTTGTGTGTTTCTATGGCACCTAATGTTGTGTGTTTCTATGGCACCTAATGTTGTGTGTTTCTATGTTACCTAGTGTTGTGTGCTTCTGTAGCACCTTTTGCTGCATGTTTTATGTAGCACGTTTGGTTGTATGTTTCTGTGTCACTCTTTGTGGTATGTTTCAGATAGATTACTATTCGTTGTATATTTATATTGCAGTTTGATTGTATGTTATTTATAGCACTTTTGTTGTATATTTCTATGGCACGATGTCTTTGTATGTTCGGATGTGTGGCTGTTTGCTGTGTGTGTGACGTATGTTTGTACATGCTACCATTAGTTAGCTTTTGAGAAACCAGATAGAGCGGTGATGCACCATGTCAGTTCTTGACCCATTCTTTCATCAAGTCATTCATCCATTTGTTCATCAGTCCATTTGTTCATCCGTCCATTTATTCATCCGTCCATTTATTCATCCGTCCATTTATTCATTCCGTTCCGACATTGATAGGTAATGGATGGTTGAGAACTTGGCTTATGTTGACCGTTCAGTTTCTTTGTTGCAAGATTGTGGAAGTCCGGTTTGCAGCCGGGGCTACTGAGTTTAGTGCTCCTGACGGCACTGTGAGCTGTGATTATCGGTTATTATTCTTCTTCGCGTTCACCAGTTGTAAACTCTGGCGAAAAGTTCTGGTTATTCATCCACTTCTGGAATGTAGTCCTGTCCAAGAACCTGAGTGGTGCGTGTGCATCCGTTTTACAGATCTGACTCATTTGCATGCAGACTACTGGTTCCTTGTCTCTCAGCAGATGCACTCCGACATTGAAGAAAGCTCCCAATTAGTTGACTCCTACGACATGCTTTTGGGTAGGCAGTGGGTCTATTCTTGTTTTCAATATAATAGGGTCCCGGAACCCACACGGGGATATTGGTTATTGACTGAGTTCGATTCGTTAGTCAATTTTCAGCGATGCCCCCTGGTCTCGAAGAGTGTTTAAAGAGGCATGCACGTTATGGTTTGCCAGATCAAATCGTGTGTGTTTTGCTGACTGAGGACACTTTGTATGGCTACGACATTCACTTGAAGTATCCAGCGTATCTGACTTAGTTTGTGACTGGAATCACTGGCATAGGCGGTGGAGAAATTATGGGCCAAGCTCGTTTGTTGTGATGCCGGAACCGTAACGACTGACTAACTATTTATTAGGAGCTGAACATCTGAGAGGCATGTTTTTTCTAGATACGAGCGAAAGCACAACATTGGCCTGAAATCCCATGTTCAAATAATTGTTGAAAATTTTTCTTAACGCGAAGAGTGTTAGCGGTCACACTCGCCGTTGCCATGGGCTGTAAGTCCCGTTCATTCCCACTGCACGGTATAATACTATCAATGGGACATGTGGAAGAGTCCCAACCATTTTATTATTGTTGTTGTTATTATTATTATTTATACTTTGTGAAGTTTTTTCCCTGGGCAGCTGTCTATTTCGTCTGCTCTCAGCTCCATCTCCTTGCATTGACTTTCAAGTAAGTGAACACAGAGCAAGGGAAGGAACACACATCAGGAAATGTGACACCATCAAGAGAAACCTAACAGAAATAATCACCAGCTTGTACAATGCATTGGAAACAGCGCACAAACGAACCTTACACCCCCCCCCCCAAACCTCACTGAAGTAAATGGTGGAAGAGAAGAAGAAGACGTTGAATTGTGAGCCCTAGCAAGGACTTCAGTGAGGTGAATATAAATATTCTTCTCCTAACATAGGGCCCAGTCCACCTCCACGGGGTCTCTGGTGCTTAGCTTTCCTTCCCCTCTTCAAACTGTATCAATTTTAGTGTAATGTTCCCCATTTGGGTTGAGCAATGATGCGCAGTACAAGAGCAAACTTCCATTTTGATGAAAGCATTAAAGATAGTGGCAATATAACTGGAATGTCTGTGCACTGGAACCCACAGGGGCATAGAAATAAAGACAGGCAGAAAATACACGGAGAAGGGAGCTGGAGACAATTTAAATAGATGAGGAGGACATACAATAGCCAAGGATAGAACGACTTGGCGTGAGTTGGTTGCGTGCCTTAGGGAGGGGCAGTAGAAGAAGAAGAAGAAAGCCATTGGTCATAACAACATTCTCTCTCTCTCTCTCTCTCTCTCTCTCTCTCTCTCTCTCTCTCTCTCTCCTCTCTCTCTCTCTCCCTCTCTCTCTCCCTCTCTCTCTCTCTCTCTCTCTCTCCCTCCCTCTCTCTCTCTCCTCTCTCTCTCTCTCTCTCTCTCTCTCTCTCTCTCTCTCTCTCTCTCGTTCTATCTCATTCTCTTTCCCTCCGCCTAATTATCACTCTCGCTTTGTTATTCATTCTTGGAGTAGTTCTCTCTCATTCTCACTTTTCTTTCTTTCGCTTTATCGCCCCCCCCCCCCCCCCCCCGCTCACTCTCTCTTTCTCTCTCTCTTTCTCTCTCTTGTGCCCTCATTCCCTCTCCCTCAGCCGAACGCTCACTCTTGCTGTTTTCTCATTCACTGTTGATATAGTTAATTCTCATTCTCACTTTTTTCTTTCTTTCTTTCGCTTTATCGTTCTCTCGTTCTTTTTGGTCCCCCCCCCCCCTTTTTTTTTCTCTCCCTCTCCCACTCGTATACTGTTGGGAGATTATATTCGTGAACAGTCTTCACATCGTCAATACCCCGTACAGCATTTTCAATTTCAGTGCACTTATCTGTTGGACTTGTGTCTATTGATTGTCAGAAGCGCCGTCTGTTGAATGGATACCTATTGGTACAACTTGTAAATGGATGAAAAGGTAGGCACATTAGGACTTGCATTCCAGGCAAAGACACTGGGGCACGAGGCACTCAGGGCCTTATGGATACATGCCTGGCATTCCTGCAGCCTTACGTTTTGTATAGATGGCCCGTTTTTCTTTGTTTAAGGTACCTATTCAGACAGAAGTGTTTGAAGTTACCTTGCATTGCTCAGACAAACTGGGTCAGCTATTCAAG